TTAATTTTTATTGGATCACAGTTGCTTTACAATGTTGTTTTACTTTCTACTTATAGCAAAGTGCAGTCTGCTGTGTGTTTACATATACCCCCTTTTCTGATTCCCTTCAACACTGTGTATCTGAGAGTTTGATGGCTCGTGTTAGTTAGTGCCTGTGGGGGATCAGTGGAAGCCAGTGTGTCTTTGGAGAGGTAAGGTCACACTTGCTGCTTGTGTGCTGGTGAGCTGCCTGTATGAGAAGGGCTCGGGCCCTGGGCCTTTGGAGTGAGTGGGGGCCTGCTCACCATCTGGTATCCCTCTGCATATCTAATTTATGCAGTCAGATGACTGGGAGCAAAGCAACATTTACCTCTTGTGGGCAAGGCTTAGGAACCAACCTGGTATTTCTGGATTTCAAGGGAAAACACCAGAAGTGTTAAAAGTTTGAAAAGCCATCTTTGGAAAAGAGATTGTCCTATTGTCCTAATGATGGATGGAGACCAGGTGGAGCTGATGTGGACAAATGCCCTGGCCACCAAGCGTGGGCTGGCTTGAGTAGGCTTTCCTAGTTCAGGCAGAGGTACATTCAAGGCAACCATTGCCCTCGTCAGCTGTGAACTTAGCTTGGGGCTTGCAAAGTTCCTCTCCTGGGAAACCATGAAACTGTCAGTCACAAAGGATTTGGCCACAAAAAAATGACCACATACTTATTTACTTATTTATCTGGCATGGACAGATGTCCATAAGGTAATTGAAAGCAGGTTGGGGCTTCTCTAGTGGCTCAGTGGTAGAGAATCCGCCTGTCATTTTAGGAGACACAGGTTTGATCCCTGGTTTGATGCCTGGAGGATCCCACAGGCCATGGGACAACTAAGCCCGTGTGCCACTCCTGAGCCTGTGTCCTAGAGCCCAGGAACTGCAACTGCTGAAGCTGTGGGCCCAGACCCCATGGTCCCCAACAAGAGAAGCCACTGCAAGGAAGAGTGGCCCCACTCGCTGCAACTAGGGAAAAGCCTGACCAGCAATGAAGACCCAGCACAGCCAAAAATAAATAAATAAATCTTAAAAAAAAAAAGCAGGATGTAGAACCGTAGGTATAATACTAATTTTTTTTTTAAGACACAGAACTCCTGGGCTTACGCATTTATGTATGTATGTAGAACTTGCAAGGGAAAACAACTGTGGGGCTATCTGAGTGATGGGACGTGGGAGAATTTTAATGTTTTTTCTTTGTGCTCATCTCCGTGTTCCTGACTTTTGTCAGTGCCTGTGCCTTTGTTCCTCTGCACAGACATGAAGGGAGGGACGTGGGAGCAGATAACCAGCACTGCTCACTGCCTGTGTGGGGCGGCAGCTCCACAGCCGGGAGCTGTCCCCGTCACCGCCCCCTCCCCTGGTAAAGCCGGCCCCTTGGCGGGGTTGGGGCGAGATGAAGCCCGCGATAGAGGGAGGGATCTCATTTCTGGAGTGTCGTGGCGGCTGGCGGCTTCGTGTGGACGGATGAGCCGTGTGGGGTCCAGACTAGCTCCATCAGACACCGGATATTAGCTGCTTGGGTGCAGGTTGCAGGGCTTCATTTCCTCAGCTCTCGTCACAAGCGTGGTGCCTCTCCATTATTAGTTTTTCTCACACGTGACTGATATCTGTACTGATAAGGTGTCCCTTTCATAAATTTACAGGCGTGGCTTTCTTGCCAGCTAGTGTCTCTTATCTCATTGGAACCAATGTTTTCGGGATCCTCGCACACAAAATGGGGAGGTAAGATGAAATGAAACAACTCAACACTCACTCTGTTACAGTAACGTACTTACTTTAAAAAACCCCAAGTTTCTACCTTCACTATTATAACTGTTTTGATTTCCACTGAAAACCTGGATGGAGGGGAGAATCGTTTCTTAATATGCTTTTTTGTGTTTTGACAGATGGCTTTGTGCTCTTCTAGGAATGATAATTGTCGGAATGAGCATTTTATGTGTGAGTAAAAGATGACATTTGAAAAAAAAAAGATGACATTTGGCAGGTGGAAATAACCTGTAAATGAAATTTTTGCTTTAGGCAAGAATTACCAACAAATATGGCAGTTTGAAGTTTGTTGACACTTAGTTTTATTAATCTTCCCTTTTCTTCTCATTTTTTTTTTCTTCTCATTTTTTATCATGTTAAAAACTTCGGACAAGATTCCCCAAAGGGTTTATCTTTATTTTGCGTCAGTTGGAAATTATTTAGAATGTTTTATTACATTGTTTTTATTTCACCTTGTTCCCCCTCCCTGTGCATCTAAAACATTACAGTGTCTTGAACACTTTAGGGCAACCAGCCAGAAACAATAGCAAGATGTTTTTCTAGAGTAAAACATCTTCTACCAAAGGCTAATATCTACCCCAAATGAGATTTGTTTTTTTCTGGTTTTTTAAAAAACGGAGTATGGGCACTTCCCTGGTGGTCCAGTGGCTGAGACTCTGCCCTCCCAGTACAGTGGGCCTGGTTTTGATCCCTCGTCAGGGAACTAGATCCCACATGCTGCAACTAAGTGTTCGAATGCTGCAGCTAAAGATCCCGCAGGCTGCAACTAAGACCCAGTGCAGCCAAATAAATAAAAATAACTATTAAAAAAATGGAGTATAGACTAGGCTGAACTTTCACATATGGAAGTGAACTAGCTTTTCGTGGTGGTCACAAAACCCATTTCAACTCTATTAAAGATTTGGAGGGTCGTCTTTTATCCAAACTCCATCTTGCCCCCTCCTCCTACTTCCTCCATAAGGGGACACACATACCAGGCCAGAGAAAACCTCTCTTTAAGACTTCCTATGATAATTCAGAGTTGAATAGCATGTTCTTTTGGCATAACATGTATTTCCTCTTACAGATTCCTCTTGCAAAAAACATCTATGGACTCATAGCTCCCAACTTTGGAGTTGGTTTTGCAATTGGTAAGTCACTGGAGCCTTGTGCCTAAATTTAAAACTTTGTTTTCCCAGTACCAAGAAAGAGTTCCTCAACTTCCCTGGCAGTCCAGTGGTTAGGACTCTGCACTTTTACAGCAAGGGCTTGAGTTCAATTCCTGGTTGGGGAACTAAGAGCTTGCATGCTGCACTGTGTGGCAAAAACAAAACAACAACCAAAAAAAGAGTGCTTACTTGGGCAGACTTATAGTTACGCAATAATAAAATTTCTAGAAGCTTGACAGGAGACTATGGCAGCTTAGCTCATGTACAGTTTGTAGATTGTCCACAGATACTGGCTTTCATGAGCTAGTCATTTATTTCCTGAAAACCAGTATTGTAAAAGCCTGATATTTACAGAAGCAAAACGACACTCCACTGCTGAGCCTGGGCAAACAGGAGAACTGCTTACTTAGAACCCATCTGTTTGGGCTCATATCTGTGCACAGACTTTCTCATATGAGGCTGGGGGACAAAGGCTTCACATGTGGTTTTCAATAAGGTTTGGTACAGAAAAGGTTGACTGATGCATTGATGACCAGCTGTACTGTGGGAATTTTCACAAGCAAAGGGGACAAGTCTTTGTAGCAATGTGAGGCACAGTAAGTAATATGTTAGGAAAAATCTCGTTCATATTTTAGATAAATAGCACATGCTTGTTTCTCATTTATAATATACAGATTAATCATGATAAAGGTGAATCTGTCCAGGGTAAAGGCAGAAGTTGGATCTTTGGTACAGTAGCGAGGATGGAGCCTTTGCTGACCCCTTAGACCAGGCTAGGTTATCCCAGCTTATGTACATACATATACATATACACATACACATACATATGTGTATACATACACATAGCTTCTCACAGCGCATTCATAGCATCACTCACAATCATAATTTATTTCTCAACTCTTTGGTCTGTTCGTTATCCCAGCACTTTGCACATCTCAGGTGATCAGCACATACTAGTTGAATGCAAGAAATCTCCCTTACCCTTCTGCCTCTGTGGGGGTGTGGGTGAGGGATCTGACATTTGAATGCCCTGCCAGATGTGTTCACAGCCATCATCTCATTCAGCCAATCACTATCATCTCCATTTTATCAATGGGGAGAGTGACGTTCAGAGAGATAAGGCACAATGATGCTCAACCAGCCAGGGGTTTGGATTTAGAACTCCGAATACACGTGTCCTTTCTTTATACTTCCTGTTCCCTGACTATTCTAGAGACCAGAGGTTCTAATACAGGTCTTGGCAGTGGTGATGGTTTTTGGTGTTTTAGCCAACTAAATGAGCAAACCTCTTTTGATTTTAGTTTCCTGAGTAGGGCCGGGCAGTCCCTCATACTCTTTCCTGTTCTGGTTCCTCCTGATTCTCTCTATACTTTCCGACTTTAACTCTCATAATTTAAGAGTGAAGCCAAGCTGTGGGTGGGGAGGAGGCTGGGTGAGGCATGTAGTGTACGCACTCTTTGAGGGCAGAGGATGATGTGGACCAGAAAATAGTGAATCAGGAAAGCACCCACAGGAAGCAGGCTCAGGGTTCATACAGCCGGTAACCAGCATCCCTCTGGGTCTGCAGAATGGCAGGCAAGTCCCTAGAGGACTGCATGCCATCTCCCAGACGGTGGAGGGCACGATGAGGCAAGGCAGGGAACAGGCAAATGGTAATCTGAGTTCCAGTCCCAGCCTCAGGCACCTTTGGTCTGTCTTCAGTGAAAGGTACGTTGTAGAGAGTTTGCCTCAAGACTTGGCAGACAGCAGTGAAGAATCTTGGCAGGGTTGTAAGGTTAGGACACAGTCATTGACATTCAGCCCACTGTTGGTTTCCATCAGTTTTCTGTAGACTGTGTTCCCTGACTGTCCACAGGCATGGTGGATTCATCAATGATGCCCATCATGGGCTACCTGGTCGACCTGCGGCACGTGTCTGTCTATGGGAGCGTGTATGCCATTGCCGATGTAGCGTTTTGTATGGGATATGCCATAGGTAAGGACATTGGGTTTCCAAAAGAACTTTTTTTTTCTCAGTGCACGACTGATAATGCCTACTGAAAATTATTTAAACCTTTGCATCTTTCTGCCTACAAGACATTTAGAGAGAGCTATATCTAATTCTCTGTTTCCTGAAAGGTCCTTCTGCTGGTGGGGCTATCGCAAAGGCAATTGGATTTCCATGGCTCATGACAATTATTGGAATAATTGATATTCTTTTTGCTCCTCTCTGCTTTTTTCTTCGAAGTCCACCTGCCAAGGAAGAGAAAATGGTAAGAAAAATTTTAGGATGCAATTAAGTGTTTCTTGATCATTTTAGCATGGTCTGGCTAGTGCCTTACGGCTTGGTTCTAACATATATTTCTACTCCTTTTGAACAGAACTCCCCAGATATAAATAGTAAGAGTTCCTTTTTAGTTTATACCACATAGAGCAGATACTTCTTTGACTGTGTCAAGCATTATGTTTATACATTTGAAGAGTGAAATAATTTTCATACCTAGATTAGCGATCAATATAGCTCTTCTGTCAATCAAATATAAACATAGATTTATATTAACAATTAATTTAATTTTCAAAGATTCTTGAACTCTTGAACATAACTTTTTTGCCTCCAGTGGTCACTCCTAAGATCAACCTTTTTTGGTCCTATCTGCTTTTCTCTTAACCCTTACCGTTTTTAGTAGTAGTGTCCTAGTCTTTATTGCATAAGAGTCTGGAGGTGGTTTTAATGTAGGTAACAGACACTTATGGAAAAACATTGTTTTATGTACCTTTGGGCACATGTGAGCATATCTTTATAACGTTTAAAATTTCATGACCAGAATCCTAGCTATAAGCAAGATAATAGTATTGAATATAGTGTTCCCCTTTTGAACAAATTCAAACTTATTAATTCTAAATTTGAATTTTGAAATGCATCAGTCATTTTATCCTTTCCAATAAGTGTTCATACCTGGTGGTGCTCCTGCTGACTTTTTTTAAACATCCGATGCTGATGGACACTCATCTGGTTGAAAGAAGAGGGCCTTAGATTAAGAGCGAATGAGAGAAGCAAGGCCGGGGGAGGTGGTATTTTTGTGTTTAGTAATGGATGTAGGTTCCTTTGCGCTGTGCTCTTCGGAGTGCATCAGAAGTTCTCCATGATGTTTGAACTGAAATGGGTTTTAAGACTTTGGCATTTCTTAATTGCCCCTTTCATGACCTTCCCCAAAGAGTAGGTTTAAAGACAGACACAGACCCTGAAGTTGGGTTGTATGTAGTCTTTGTTTTGGGCATTTTGGGCATTTATTAGTATGTTCAGTATATTTAAGAAGTGTATCCAGCACTGAGCACTGTTCTTGTGCCCTTTATTATATAGGATTTAAGTAGGTATCTTTGAATTACTCACACCCATCTGACTCTTCCTCTTTTGCTGACACCTCCCCAGCTCTGAACAACTTTCTCATCTCTCTCAGGGAACTTCCTGCTTTCAAGCCTGGTCATCTGAGTTCCCTGGCCACCTTTGTCTGACCCTGGCAGAGCACCTTGGCCCCCATCAGGGTCAGGACATTCTCTGTGCAATCCCAGAAAATAGCTCTTGTTCTGTTGCCACCGTATCAATCTGATTAAGGCTGAATGAAGATTACTCCCAACCCTATTTGACCAAAAAAAGAAAAAATCACCTACAAATGGTTCTGTCACCCAGGAGACTGTAGACCCAGGAGGTAGCGCAGGGCCCTGGAGCTGAGCTGTCTTTCTCAGAGGAAGATGATTTAGCCCTGACCTCACAGGGTGGTTTGAGGATTCAATGGAGTCCCAGCGGAGTGTGACCCCCATGTCTGCACATAGTAAATGCTCAATAAGTTGTCACTTGTTTCCATATAACCCCACCCTCCTTTCTTGCTCTTACCTAGCTCTGATGTACTCTGTCAGCCCGGCGGTCCCTCAGTCTCCTCCCCTTCTTCTCTCTGGGAAATGAGAACTCTCATAACCCAGCACTGCCCACTGGGCTTCCCTTGCCGAGCAGCGGACGTTAGTGGCTGCTGTGTTATCCGTTTGTCAGTAGCAGCTTTGAGGGCTTATCTGAGGTCTTGGAGGAAGTGGGTGAGGTCAGGGGACAAGTTCCTGCTCTGGGGTCCACACACAATGGGCAGAAAGCCTCTGTGCCTCTCCCCACATTCAAACCAAGGCTTTAGTTCATTTAAAAAGAAAAGTGCTGAAGGCAATGGAAGAGACAATCCTGAAAGGCAAAGTGATAAGGAGGGCCAGGCTTACAGGAGCTACTTCCACTGTAAAATGTCCCTTGATAAGTGCCTAGCAAGATGAATCATTGAAAACCAGACAGAATGTGTGTCTCACTGCCCATAATTGATGCCTGTAATTGAAGGCATCACGTCAGATCCATTTGAGGGGCACGATGGTGACATCGGAAGGTGGCAGCCAACAGCCGCTGCCTACTCACTGTGCAGGCAGGAAGCAGCTGATGGCACCGAGTGATGGGAGGCAGCCAGGGCAGGAAGCCGCGCGAGCCGGGGCGGAGAAGGATCGATTCCCACCCACTTGAGAAGCTCCAATAGCGCCAAGTGCCGGCATTCAGGATCAGCAGTTACCAAGCGCAGCGGATGGGAGAGCCAGAAGGCGTACAAACCTTAGCAAGTAATCCCTTCATTAGGAAGCCTTCTGACTAAGTGGTGTGTGGACTTAAGCTCGAAATGGAAAGTTCGAGTGCCGTTTTATGGTTCCCAAGTCATCCAATCATGAACCAGTTTGTGAGCAACTGAGTTTTGCTTTCATTTGGTTTATTGGATTTCTGTTTTTTTGCTTTGTTTTGTTTTAAATTAGTGTTATCAAAACAGGCAGAGAGAAAAGCCTGTTACTGTAGTCCCTCTGCAGGTATAAGAAACACCAGCTCTGTCATTTGAGGGAACTGCATTCCACTTGTAAGAGATTGGTTGTAGCCTCTGGTTCTGAGTAGCCAGTGAGGAAACTGGGTTCTGGAATGGACTTTATTTTTTCAGGTTAAAATTTTTTTTAAAGATAGGGCACATTTCTTAGGTCTCAATGGACATGAGTTTGAGCAAACTCCAGGAAGATGGTGAAGGACAGGGAGCCTGGCGTGCTGCAGTCCATGGGGTTGCAAAGAATCACGACTTAGCGACTAAACAACCACTTAGGTCTTACTCTTCAAGTTTCTAATTGTTGCTCAGACAGGAAAGTAGGCTATTTGAGGACTGTAGCTTGCTTTTACTGGCTGATACTGATGTAAAACCATCACTTTATTAACAAAAAAGATAATGTGGTAAATAAGTCTTTTCTAGCACACAGGAGCCCTGGTATCTTTCAATATCTTGAAGCCTGGAACTGTTACATTTTAATACTTTGACAGTTTCACTGTCCTAGCTTTGTATTTGTGTTATTTTTACACTTCACTTGGTCCAGCTTTGGAAATCCTGACTCTATGGTGTCTGATATGAAACCAGGCATTTGGCAGGACTGGAGCTCAACTCTCAGGAACGGGCTTTGCCCTGAATACAAATGACAATCCCCTGCACCCGCCTCTTTTATACTTCACTTGAGGGTCAAACACACCTTTCTCCCCACAGCAGTGCATGGAGGACTGCTCTAATTACCAGGCTGCTCCCCAGGCCCCTCTGAATGCATCCCTTTGGCCCGTGACTTACCCACTTGATGTTGTTCATGCCTCTCTTTTCGTGGCACTTTTGGACTATTTCATGCCCTCTGGCTTAATCTTGTATAACTTAAAAAAAAAAAAGTGGCACAATAAATCTTTCAAAAAAGTGTCCAGAAGTCAGCAAGCTAGGTTTTAAAAGTTACAAATGATCTTTTAAGAAAGAAAACTCCTTTACCTGGTACAGGTAGTGTCAGGAAACCCAGTTTGGTTAATTGATAAGTTCTGTACAATGCCAAATCATTGGTCTGACTGAACTTCTTCCCTTGCAATGCAGTTTTTAAACTAGGTCCGTTATGTGCCAGTGCTAGGTTCCAGAAGTCATTAAGTCTATAGAGTGTATGGTATGATGGTGGACTAGCCAGGGGAGAGAAGGCCTTTGTGGTAAGGAAGGATGGCCATCCTTTCCAAGGCTGGCTCTCTGCCTGTGGGCCTGAGGTTAATAAGGCCTCCTGCCTGGCATTCAGGGCCCTGCAGTCTGGGTCTGATTTGGCTTTCCCGTGATGGTCTCCTTGTGCCTCAACATCAGATCTCGGGGTGAGGAGGAGGGTTGGGGGAAAAGGCAGGCTGCTTTACAGAATGCCCTGCAAGCTTCAAATCCACCCGTCTTCTCACGTGCTTTCCCCAAGCACTTGAGACTCCCAGTAAGCACTCTGCCCACGAACCCCGTGGAACCGCCACTTGTGTGCAGTGAGGTTCTGAAGTTGCTGGGAGAGGACCTTAAAGGCCTGGAACACGCATCTGGTAGGTGCCCAGTAAGCGGTCATCAGCTGTGTGGCTTTGCTTTGTCCCAGAAGGTGCCGCACGTATGTCCGGTGGTGTTTCTCACAGCACGCTGACACCAGTATCACTAAGGGTAGGAACCTGGGATTCGATGTTTAACCTGCCTCATCAAGTGATTCTTGGGCACGTTTCTTTGAGGATTGTGACTCCAGAGGCAAGACATGAGCTCTTGATGGCTAAAGCTTGTGTGCTACAAGCACACACCCATGTGGGAAGAAGGGTCCTGCTGTCTATCACTTTAGTTACTTACTTTTTAAAAACTGAGCTCCTCATGAAGTCCATGTATCAGTTCACTTGGCAAGAAGCATAATAATAATGAAAAAAAAAAAAACTAGAGTTGAATTTGCAGCTGACAATTTGAGCTGGCAGCCTAACTTAGAGTCACGGAAGTCCTTATCATCACAGGCCACATGGCAGGTCATTTCAGAATTCCTTGGGACATGATAAATGGGTTAAGGGCTGAGTGGAGACACGGCAGCTGATCCAGTCTGTGGGACAAGAACGGGGAGGAGCAGCTGACAAGTGCCAAGATAGGCTGCAACAGGCCAACAGAAGAGTAGTTAACCCAGATCAGTGTCGCCATTTAGATTTTCAAACGCACAAAAAGGCACCGGCAGGATAGCTTACGTGGAGGAAAACTGAGACATGCCCGGTGAGAGACTCCGTTTCAGTTGCACCTAATGTCATGCTCTGCACCCCTGGCTGTCCTGGAGCGTCACGAGTGGTCGTTGGCACAGGCCGCCTGGGCTCGATCCACCCCATTTAGCCGAGCATCTCTTGGTCAAGATCTTTGACCCTTATGCCTACACAGAGGGTGATCAAGCTATCACACAGGGCTGTTGTGGAGTAGAAATATATTGAAAATGCCTAGCAGAGTCTTGGCATGATAAACCCCACCTGTATACTCAAGACTACATGCTTGGTCCGTATGCTTCCAGGAGGAATAATGACTATAGTGCTTATCAACTGAAGATATTTATCAACTGAGGATCAGTTGATCTTTAAAAAGCTTTTGTTACAATAAGGGAGCACATAGAATTTTTATGTGTATGAGAGAAACATACTTTTTATTAATAAAACACACTTGAGCAAGAAGAGGCCAGCCAGGACTTGGGAAGACGTCCTTCTGAGATGCCGTATTTAGAAAGGTAAGGGCCCTGTGATGCTTAATCCAGGGAAACCAAAGGGGCCGTACCTGTGGCCTTACTAAGGAGGATCCCCCCACCCTAAGTATAAACTAAACCTAACCTGCATACCCCTTTTTTCATAGCTTATAGGTTCCTCCAAATTGACTTAGGGTCCCTGGCAGATACAATAGGAACACTGCAGAGACTGCTTCTGCTGCCTCCTACTGCCTGGAATTTTCACTCTTTAGAACGCCAGGTCTTCCAGGCCAGGCACCTGGCAGTTGCACCAGATTACTGGTTGGTTAATACTGGGTGGTACTGTAGGTAGTTTTCAAACTACTAATCCTTAGTCTTAACCAGTTTCTGTCTTCTCTTTATGAACCAGTGAGTTAATGTATCTGCACTCTGCTCTCTTTTAGGCTATCCTCATGGATCACAACTGCCCCATTAAAACAAAAATGTACACTCAGAATAGCAGCCAGTCGTATCCAATAGGTGAGGATGAAGAATCTGAAAGTGACTGAGACCCTCAAAAGTCCTCCAAGTACCTAATTGTATAAAACAGTGTTTCCAGTGAAATGACTCATCCAGAACTGTCTTAGTCATACCACTCATCCCTGGTGAAAGTCATACAACCAAAGGTTCTTTCTTTTCCACGGTTATGATCGATTGCCAACGGCCTTATAAAGAAAAAGCAGCTTTTCTAGGGGTTTGTATAAATAGTGTTGAAAACTTTATTTTATGTATTTGATTTTATTAAATATTATACAATATATTTTGACGAAATATAGTGTAAATCTATAAATATTTGAATCCAAATCAAATATAATTTTTTAACTTACATTCACAAACACCTGGGCAAAAAAAAGTCTTATATTTTTTTCTGAATATTGGTAATGAGTGTTTAAAGCACACATTATCTCCGAGACACTTCCAACAATGAGAAACTAGAAGGAAGTCTGAAAAACAGAGTCAAGTAAGACGGCATATATTATGTAGTGACACTGAATGTTACTGAACTTGGAATTACAGTTGACCTGGAACAACACAGGGTTTGGGAATGCCAACACCCCACACAGCCGAAAACAATCAGCCCTTCGTTTCCGTGATTTCATGTCTATGGATTCATCCTACCACGGGCCACATAGTACTGCAGTCTGTATTTGTTGGAAAAACTCTGCATATAAGTGGACCCGTGCAGTTCAAATCATGTTGTTCAGGGGTCAACTGTACTATCAATATATTCATGAGGTAAAAGCTAGTTATCTCAAATGCAGAAGAACTTGAGTCAGTCACCTTTCAGATTTAATCCATGAATCTCAGCTGGCATTAGTTTTCTATTTAATTACCTACCTGGAAGCGGATGGTTGTAAATTATATATTTACATGTCTTGTGGTTGGCAGCAAACATTAAAGCCATATAAGAGTAAAACAGTGAATATTCTGAAAGCAGAGAAAAGCACTCAAATATATAGTTATGAACAACTAGAAGCTTTCCCTTTCAGATACATACCTGTCCTACTGGATAACAAAAGATTGAGAACAGAAACACCTTATACTATTAGGATTGTTTAAGCATAATGAGATATATCAACACCTAGCTGAAGTTTTAGAAAAGAAATTTAAAAAGCTAATAGCTGCTATGATGTGAAAAAAAAGTCAGACTATAATTTTCTTTTACCTGGAAGTCAAGTGTTTTCTAGGGATCTGTTAATTTTTTTTGATACTATTATTTTAGATGAAGATGAAGGAGGAATAAAACTTGTCTTGAATTGTGTTAGGAAAACAGGTAAAAATAATAGGGTGGTCAGGGCACACTCCCTTTCACATGCAGGAAAAATCCCAAACATCTAAAAATGTCTATGTAATACTGTATCACCTAGCGCTGTGTGATGTAGTTTTTCTGAGCATGATAATGTTGCTGTGCCTTTTCGATATAAGTACTGTTAGTGAACACTGTCCGTTTATATCGTTTTGTATGATATGAAGATAGTGTGGAATGTCTTAAAAACACTTGTTCATTCTGTAGTTCTGTAATAGTAAGCAAAAACTACCTAATGTCAGTTTCTTTGTTAAGCTAAAATTATTTAACTTGGAAAGACTCTACCTTTTACTTCCCTAAAAAAGTAGCTAATATTTCCTTTCCATTTTCTTCATGAAGCTTTTTTGTGTGAAGTCTGGTTTTTTAAGTGCATGTGTTGGAAGCAAACTGGCTTCCTACTCATGTATTTGCATTGGGCGACTCACACAAGGCCTCTGGTTTGCTGGAGGTGCTTCTATGGCTGAAGTAAAAAAACGGGATTGTTCTCTACTTCTTTAGGGGAGACCCTTAAAAAACAATGTACTACAAATCAGTTCTCTTGGAGGGTTTGTAGTTCTCCCCACTCCTAATACTATATAGCTTTAAAAATTTTTGCCTGTAAGGCTTCAGTCTCTTCAAGAATGACTGGCAGCCATGTCTGCTGGTGATCCCTAGAGATCATATAAAAGAGAAATGTTTTTCAGACATGTTTTGAGAGCAAAAGGGGAAAAACTGTATCTGATGAGGAAAAAACCTGAAAGGTCTTTCATATGAATAATATTCTGGGGTGGGTAAATCTATGAAAAGAGGGGCTGTTTTTAAATGTGTGTATCACAACAAACAACACACAGCTCTCTGAACTGTTTATTTTTTGAGCAGAAGTGGTTTTTATGCTTGTACCTAGCAAAACAGATACAAAAAATTTAATGAGGTAGCAATGAATACTCAGTTCTTTCTTTTGACTGCTAAGTGTATCCACCTACATTGTTTTAGCTAGTTTACCTAATAAATCTTCTGAACACTACTGTGCCTGTTGTTTTCCTTTGTTAACCAGATAATATCATCAGAATAAAATATGTGAGAACATATTAATTCTGGATATTCAATTAAAAACTATTCTTTTTTGCTTGCAGACGTCAGGTAAAATCTACTTCAGACTAGTTTGAACCATGTTTTCTGGCTTTGCAAAATGTTTTAAATTGAAATACGTAACTACCCACATGGTGTCAATGTGGAATCAACCAGTAAGTTAACCTTGCATCTTTAAAGCTGTACTGCTTTCCTGATTGCTATGAACAAATAACTATAGTTGATAAAAGTAACTAGGATATGCAGCCACTTGACACAGTAGATCCATGGCCATGGAAGTACCATGAAGTCTAGGATATGCTTGTGTGCATCAGGGGTGAGAATCCATGATTTTAAACAGATCTTAAAGTAGATCCACAGCTTAAAAACGTTTAAGGGAACCTCCCCCAATCCCAT